GTAAAGTGCCATATTAAGTTTGATTTTTCAGGTTGAAGTGTTTTGCTAGGTTCAGGAGCAAAGGCATTTAAGGTACTGCTCCTCGCGTTAGGTTCAGATGATTCTGACTTTTTTTCCCTTTTTGCCCTTTTCTATATCAAGAGGATGCAGCTATGAAAGTAAGGTCTTTAATTGAATTCTTTGTTATTGTAATTGTTGTTGCAAGTAAGCTCTGCATTATTGTTGAAAAAGCATGCAAATTTCAGCCTTTGAACTTTGGTTGTATGGGAAGTCTTGTGGCAGCCGGAACTGTTGAAAATAAAAGGGGACTTTTTTTGGCTTGCTGCAGTATGAAATATTTATTGTGCACAGTTGGATTATGACTTTGTAGCCCATTGCATTAATTGTGGTTTGGCAAAGAATAATGGTCAATGGGACAAAAATTAGGGATCAAAATTTAAAATCAATGTAATACAAATCACATTATTTAAAATATCAAAAAATAAATCATATATTATTTAATAATTGATTTTTTTTATTTTTTAAATCTATTATATTATATACATCAACTAATTTAATTACGTGGCATACATCACATTGCTGGCCTCAAATTTTTGCTCCTAATTTTTGTCCTCTTCGTCATTATTCTTCTACAAATTATAAAGAGAAATCCAAAGCAGAGTGAAATCAAGAAAAATACAAGAGAGCTGAGAGTGCTTTGGGTGAGCGTGAATAAGAGTAGAGTGGTTAAAATTCTTTGCCGAGTGATTTTGAGCATGTCTTGCATTTGAAAACATTGTTAGTAAAATTTGAGTGTACTTAGGAATTGGATATTCAGGAGCATACCACAAATTATATCTTCTTATTTAATAATGTTTTTTTTTAATACCTGTGAATATAGACTCAATTAATTGAAGTTGAACCACATAAATTCTCTCTTTCTTAGGTTGATACAATTTTATTATTCCATTGAATTCTTGGTCTTGTAGTGGGTTAACCAAAATCTCAAACCATTTGTTTCAACGGTAATGACTAAATTTTCTTGTTGGAAATAAGTAACCATGACATTACGTATG